AATTTGTATTTTCAATTTTCTTTTTCATTTCTAACTTTTAACTTTGTAATTTTAAAATTTCAATAAAATATTTTTTAAAAAAAAGAATGAGTTCGCTTTTAGGTCCTGAGGATTTCATGCAGTACTAGTTGGTGGCTTTGGACGACCCATGTACCTATGCACGTCAACACTCCTTCTCTGGAATGACAGCCCACCAAAAGCAGACTTTGGTGTTGTACAGGAGTACTAAGACTGGCACCTGTGACTGGTCCCATGAGAAACTCCCCAAGATTGTTTTTCCATATGATATATGCTACGGAGGGGTGGGGGAGATCCAAACCATACATGCGGGATCCCAGCAAACATATTCACCATGCATGAAATACACAAGACATTACAACACACAAGCACCAGTCCAACCCGCCATCTCCACCCACCATTATAGTCAACAGTTTGAATACTCTTTCTTTCCCGACAAGCACAGCTTTGAATCTTAGCATGGAAAAGGATTCCTGTATGGACAGTACCCTTTTAGCTCTTAGGGCAAGATGCTAAATCAGGGGCTGCACAAACTCCCTGGATCACAGGTTCAAGACCCATCTGGGGAAGGAAACTTTTTTTTTTAACCACATGGCTGAGGGGGAGACCAGGGCACCCAAGGAGGGGAGTTGACATCTCACCAAATGTACAGTATTGGATAAGGGTTTAAAAAGGAAGGGAGGGCAATCTGAGCACTTTTAGTAGAAAAGGGAAAAGCTGTTACCTTTCACACACAAAGACACATGAATCACAGAAAGGAGGGAACTTAACTGATGTTTTTTTTCAAGGCCTCCATGTCAATTTTGCTCCAGTAATTCTGGAAGCCCCAAAAGGTTTGAGGATCACACACAGCCTACAGACAGCTTCCTTCTACACCTTCAGACAGGTGTGTGGAGAAGGAATTTGCCTTTACTGAGCCACACTCTGATCCATCCGTACAGTATTGTCAATTCTAAGGCTACTCAGCTTCAGAAAGGATTGTTTGGGAGCATTTAGCTGGCCTTAGCTAATGTAGAAAAACTAAGGAAAGTATTTGGATGAGAGGCCACAGGAAATTCCAGGACTGTAGAGTCTCTTAAACACAGAGATTCATTTAACTAAGACTAGACCAGGGGAGAAATAGACACAAGAGAAGTGGATGAAAACTCTTCCCCTTACCTATCTCTCATTATTTGTCTTGGTGGCTGAAACAGCTCATAGGTACAAAGAGAGGAGAGAATCTGCAGTAATTCTCAGGGAGACCAGGAGGAGATGAGGTCACACTGAACTGAGTTCTATTGGAACTCTCTATATATGTAAGGGCTGGTTGTTTGGATCTGTGGTGTTTGGAGTGGGATCCTGCAAGGGAAAAAGGCTCATAAGTGTTTGGCTGGCAGTGGCTGGAATGATAAGGGTGCCCTTTCACAACAAAGAGCTTTCCTGCTTAAGAGAGATCAGTGCCTCTCCACATGGAACATATGCTCCTGTCACTGGAACAAGGCAGGAGGTAGAAATATAATAGAGCACACAGTTGGCCCTGAGTCATTCAACCACCTTTCATGACCAAAGGAGGACTAGAAGTCAGTGTCTCTTGGTTTCTAGCCCAGCACCTTAGCCAAAATGACCAAGGAGTTCCAGGAAGACAAGTACAACAGCAGAAGCACCCTCCTAAAATGCTTAATCTTATCTCCCATCACACCAAACATGACAAGGGAACATGGAAGTTGTAGTCCAAATAAATACAAGAGAAAAGGTTGCTGATTTCTGAGTTGATTTCTGCTGACATATTACCAGTCAGTCTAAATTTCCTCAGTCTGGATATACTGAGGAAAACTGAACTCTTCCACTGAAAACTTGTAATATTTTAGTTTTAATATATTCCCCACTTTCCTAACATTATTGGAGGCATCTTATAATTAGGAAAAAAAATAAAATCTGAGCAAAACAATGTACCAATAAAAGCAACCACAATCAATACTACAGTTCTTGGTTTCATCTGCTGCCAAGATTAGGAGGCATAATATTTATTTTTTATATAATTTTATTGAAACTTTTAGACAAGATAAAAACTAACACAAACTAATATAAAGTAAGGAAAAAAGAAAAAGAAAGAAATCAAAGAAAAAGCAAAAAGTGCAAGAAAAGAAAAAAGTTGAAGAAAAATAGAAAAAAAAGATATAAAGAAGTGGCTTATGATATTCTTCACGGCAGTTATAAGTACAAATATATGTTAACCTTTCTCTCTAAAGTTACATCATATTACTCTTCTTTCTATAATCTATCCTATCTAATCATCAAAACCATAAATCAGTTCATTTTTATGCAAAAAGTCCATAAGAGGTTTCCAGTCATCAGTAAATGTAGATAATGTCTTTTCTCTAATCAAAGAAGTCAATTTATACATTTCAGCAAAATCTGTCAACTTCACCAACCATTCCTCCATAATGGGTACTGTGCATATAGTGATCTTGCTTCAATAATCATATATTGAAATGATTTTCCATGGGTTTTTTTTCTAACTGTTTATCCATTAGTCCAGGAGACATAATATTTACAAGGTGCCTAAACCAACATGAACTATTGATTCTGACTCGGCTCACCTTCCAGTAGTGATCTTTGCCTACTGCTGGATGTCTGAAAAACAGGAAGCTCCTCCTCCTGCTATTCCAAGTAATTTAATAATAACTGTGCCTTACCCTTATACCTAAGGGTTATATCCATTCCGGGTGAGATAATTCTTGCAATGAAGTAATGAATCATTTGGGAGGAAATGCAGACTTTCCCTGTGCTCTATCACAATGGCTGGCCTTCTGAGGTTATAGTAAGCACTGCTGAAATGTTTCTGAAGCCTCAAGCTCTCCTTTTGCTTGGATCTAACTCTTTCGAGCCTTTTACTTTCCACCATTCCATACATCCCTCCTAGATTCCTAGGTTCCTAGTGGAAGGGGAAAGACATTCCCAAGGCCCTATTCCTTTCCTTAAGCCATAAAGTGTAAGTCGTCCTCAGAAGGTCTGCTGGGAAAGTCCAAAATCCCTTCCTTCCACTGGTCTGGAAACCTGTCTTAAGAACCAGATGAGAACTAAGAAGGGAAAGTGGCTCAAAGGGACAGAAGAGCTAACTCAAGGGGCAAGAAGGAAGTGAATAGGCAGCTGAGTAAGATACAAGCTTCTCACCTGTTATTAGGAGAAACAGAGCAATCAATGGGGAGAGGCGCTTTCACTCCCTGCTGTTACTAGGCAACCTTAAAATATATTTTCTTGAAAAGTATGATCAGTGGTTGTAGTAACATCTTGCTGTCCTACCTATGGAGCATTCCTTTCAGAATTACGATGAGCTCCCAAGCACAGTTTTTTAAAAAGGCAGATAAAAACCTATCTTAAACTAGCCTTGTGAGTTACTTTTTAATGGTTTTACTGTTTAGCTGATAAGGATTTTTTCAAAATGTGTTTATGGTATTAGTGTTTATATACAATTATTGTATATCACATTGGATCCTTGACAACAAGATGGTATAAAAAGTATAAATAAAGGCAAAGATGGATCTGATCTTGAAAGTATCAAAGTTTTGAAAGTATCATCTCTATTGTATGGCAGATGTTGGGTGTTCCTTCAGGGACATCTTTTGGAGACGTCAAAAAAGCATTGCAGCCTTGCCCTTTTCATGTAAAAAAGGGGAGAGTTTTGATCACACAGTTGTGGTTCCCATCTTGACTTCTTTTTTTTTTAAACACCTCACCCCCCCCCCCATAGATACCCTTGTGCTCCCTTTTCTTTGTGAGACCTAATACATAAAAGTGATGTGAGGTGGAAATAAGGTGCTTTGTTTCATTAATTATGCAGCATTATTTAAAAAGTTAAATGGACATGACTAACCTTATATTCATGTAGGCTTAACATTATCTGGCCCCATCAGACTTTGGAGCTTTTGTGGGACACTACAATGACAGATTAAAAGCGTTATCAGCCAAACATGGCAGCTTCTTCTAAGAGTGCAGGTATGGCAAAGGAGTGAACATGTGCCTGTCTGTGGTACTAAATAAGCAGTGCATAATAATAGTGTTAGAATGATGTAGTTTCATTGCCCAATGGATTAGTCCTGCAGAAAAATAGGGTATTAAGGAAAATGCTTTAAAAAGAACTGCACTCGTCACTGATAAGAGATTTCAGATTTCCATTATTCTGGGTTGTTCCATTTCTAACCCATATGCCAACTTAACTTCCAAGAACTTGACAACCCAATGAGTTAATCTGGCCTTGCCTTCAATGTCATCAAAATCCAAGTCACACTAGGGCCTTGGTCAACAACTGAGGTCAGCCAGGAAGCATGGGGGGCGGGGGGGGAGCCAGCAGTCAGGACTGAAGGGGCCATTTTGGATGCAGGAACAAGGAGCATGCTAAAAGCATCTGGATCAGCAATTGCCAACTTTTCCAGGTTTTGGATGCGAAACAATATCATTTAGATACTCCTACCATGTGAACCAGCTAAAATCTTCTATGAGATCACTGAACTTTCATAAGATTTCTGCCAATTCAACCATGCTTAATAAGTTTAATTTAACTGGGAGGGGAGTGCATAACATTTTAAATGGGATGATATACAATAACCAGACATGCAAGCATACTTCTGAGCTCAGGAAGAACTTGTTACTCCAGAAAAACTTAAATGAAACAGGAAGCCCTCTTATATTCTTTCAGTTATGATCTCCCTGTTGTCACTCGTGGTCAATTCAGCTTGCTGTGAATGTTTTATACATGTATTTTTGGGGAGGTGGGAGGGAGAGATATCATATAGGGTTGGTAGTGAATGCAGCTCATATACTGTATGTGTGTTGTGGGGGGAGGTAACTTACACCATCACGCATCAGAGAAGCATGGCCAGTCTGTGTACTGTAGTAGATCCACTTCTAAAACATTCTTCACAATGAAGGCTGACCCTTACAGTTCACCAAATAGGACAGCTGCAGGCAGATGAAACAATGATAGATATCTCTATCATCTGTCTTACACTATGAGAAACCGGAAACCTGGTTTTTCCTGGGTTTGATCAGATAGATAGGGTAGAGCTGGAGGTGATAGAAATAATTGATGCTGGAATAGAGCAACAAGACCTATTACAGTACGGGCCACTGTAGAGTTCAGTGTCATTCAGCTTCAGTTTTATGATTAAGGGTCTTTTCCCACAACTCAGCTGAAGTGCTACTCACCCATCCTTGGCAGAAAACTACACTGGCATGGCATTGCTGATCTCTATTTTGAGTCATTGCAGTCACCTGACTTCCCTCCAAGGTAATATATGGCAGCAGATTTTACACGCCTTGAGGCTGCCCTTGGATGGTGATAAAATAAGGGGGAAAACACAACTTTAATGTCAGTAGAGTTTAGGACAGCTTAAGGCAACATCAAATGGATATGCAAGACCCCATCTCTCCACCCCATCTTTGATCATGCTGGGAGAAGCAGCTGGCTCTCTCTCATTTTGGGGAGATCAGGGGGGCCTAAGCTTGGAGGCACTGTTTTTCTGTAATGGGGCCAGCCCTCTGGAATAGGCTCCCACAGAAGTTTCAATTGGCTCCAATGCTATCCATCTTACAGAAAAAGCTGAAGATGGAGATTTTCTGGAGGACGTTTGGGTGTCGATGCCAAGTACTATTTGGGATCTGTATGTAGTATATCTTTTATTGTTTGTGATTCAGCTATCATCTTTTTTTGCGAACCACCAAATGATAGTGGCAGGATATAAATTTGATAATTAAGTAAATAAATAAATTGCCAACAGGCCAGGTTTAGGCTTTGCTTAGCCCAACATGGGCAAAGAGGTGATCCTTCAAATATCATGCACCCATGCCTTTTAGAGTTTGGGCTATACATGCCAAACAACAACTTAAAAAGACACACACCCATCACTACTTAAGCTACTGGTTTCCAACTGAGACAATGAGAAGGTCTTTTTTCCTCCAATTAAAATATTGTGAAAAAAATAAAACAGGACAATTTTCAATACTGCTCCCCTGGAAAGCAGCTGCTGCATGCAAGGAAGTGAAGCCATTGATTTCTGGCCAAGAACATTTTGAACAGGGGGAAAAAATCATTAGCAAATTGCCCAAGAGCTGTCTTTGGAATACTGTAGAGTTCAATCAATCAGGTTGGAGGAGGTGGCCATATTAAAAAAAAAAGAAAAGAAAAAACTTGTGGCCAGAGGGCACCAGAGCTAGGACGTAAACTGTTCTGCCACTAGCAGTTATAGCCTGAGCTCTCAGTAGAATTGACAAGGTGACCTGCAGTGTCCTTCTTTTAGAAAATCAAAATCTGCAAAGAAAGACCTCAACCAAATGGAGGATGAAACATTTCAAGATGATCTTCAGACTTATAAAAGTAAAGTTTTTTCTTCCTTCTTAGCAATCAGTAATCAGCAGATAAAGAGTCAGTCTTCATCTGAAATTGGGATTTAAAATTTATATTTTCAATTTGTAATAATAGAGTTAGTGTAATTAAGTAGGGATTAGCAGCATAGCTATGTATCATATTTTTCGGAGGTAGACCTCTCTTTGAAAAGATCCCAGGGGAAAATCCTTCTTGCAGCTCTTCTTTCATTTTCTTTCATAATGTACAAATGGCCAAAACTAAAGATTTAGAGAATAAATCTGTTTTAGAATGTTTCTGATTATGCATGTTGAGCTCCAATGCAGCTCAACCAACTGGGTAAGGTTGTCCTAAGGGGCTTCTAAGCCATCACCGCCCTGATTTGGTTGCTCTGAAGGCACATTTTCATTTGTCGGATGTTCTGTTGATGTACCGAGTGGGTCAATGGGCATTCCTTATTTTCATTGGGCTGATGGTGAATGCCTTAGCTACTACCCCAAACTGGCTCTCCTCGCAATTCTTTGGTCATCCTATAATACCATTTACAGATAATGGCAGTCCTCACCTTACCAATCTATAAAGTTCAAGGAAATAATATGCAACCACAGTTAGTATCTCCAGAAAATGAACCATAAATATTTCATGACATCATGCAAGCTTCAAGAGGTGACGAAGTTTTTCTGTGTTACATACAATATCATATTGGCTATCTCTGTTCAGTTCATACTACGGGCATCCAGCAAGAATAAGAATCCATATGTGATTTCACAAGAAGATAACTCTCTTTCTGGATTCCCAATAGCAATGGAACAAATTTCCTGCTATTTCTTTCACCTTTATCTCTCTCTCTCTCTCTTTTAAAGAAAGAAATTGCCTTTCCTACACCCAGAGATCCAACTTCCATATCTATGTTCTGCTGGCAGTCTCTTTTCTCCTAACAGTTATTTTCTACATTGTAGTTCTTTCCAAAGGTATGTGTTTCATAATGTTGTTCTTTATTGAGTAATCCTTGACTTGGGCTCTTTCAGCTGGGTGGAGGGGTACATGTGTTATTATTTACAGAGCAATCTTAAACTTTACTGAAGCATTCCCAAGTCAAAGTCCTCAGACATGCCACAAAGCTTTGTACACTATAAGCAGCATTTGCTGCTCCTTCCCGGTATCATCGTCATCATCTTTGAGCTGATGTGGCAGAAAGCCAAAAGAGCTGAGCGTCCATTAGGGATCCTACCTATTCCCCATCATGTTCCTTTTTTGGGCTTTCCGAGAGGGAAACCCTTGGGATCCTGAAGCAAAACAGTTCCTTTGAGAAAGTAGATGAGAATAAGTCTCGATTCCCAAGTCCTGACAAAACTGCCAGATCCTGCACAAAAAGAGCTTTGTGAGGGAGGCTTCACCAAAGAAAGATGTGAGGCTGCAAAGTTCCTAGACAACCAATGTCCATGCAGGCTGAGGCTGACATTAGAGTTGGCTTGTCTGGAGGACAAGCAGATAGGAGAAGGGTGCTGTACGCTGACTGGCCAAACCACAGAACTTTGAGAAGGAGCTTCTTCCAGACATTTAGTCAGAGACCGTGCTCTGCCTCTATGGTTCCTTCCACTCAACACCATCACTGGGTAAACTGCAATTAATTTGTGAGCAGACCGAAAGCACCAGAGGAACTGAAAGCATCAGAGCTGGCATGGCTGGGTGGCATATACTGCCAAACTTTCTCTGAGACGAGTCTCTTGAGAACTTAGATGCAGTGTTTATCTTTAAATCATTCCCTCTGAGGCAAAAGCCATTTTCCTTCATTTTACTGAAGCAAAATTCTATTACAGATTAAAATAGGTAAAAATAGTACCAAAAGATTACAGAGTTAGTGTAGCATGGCCCAGCTTTCACACAATCAGGTAACAAGGACATTTCTGTATCAAGGTTTGTAAAGATTGCTTAACATCTATTTGAACCTTGCCCGACTAAGAAGAATCTGAGCTGCCTATTTCAGATAGCTTCAACATGAGTTTCCCTTTTCCTAAATGTATATTTACTGAACTGTTCATCTGACTGTTTATAAGCAGATACCTATGATAACACCATCTTCTTTCCCAAACACAGAATAAGCCTTGTGTAAAACCTCTTGATCAGTGTATATTTTTCTGAGAGATATTCGTCAGTAGAATCATGCTCCCAAATATCTGTGCAGCGTCTTCTTCGAAATAATTTTTCTGTCACTTTGCAGAGGTCTGCCTATTTTAATAAGGAATGTATGACCCTAACACCCCCTATTTTAATAGTATTTCCTGGCTCTAAGCTCCACTGATAACAGTCCCATTAGATACCAAAGTCAGAGTTAGGACATGAGATGTAAAGATCTCTTCTATCCCACGAGCTCATACTTCTTCCTCTCAGAATTATTTTTGTTTCATTGGCTCAAAAATGCTTTTTTTGGGGGGTGGGAGGGGAATTGTCTATCTTTTCATTCATTAATATTCTCATCTAAAATAAATAGTGCAGGTGATGTCACAAAGCCAAACTCAAGTTATTATGAGAGTTGCATGAGGACTAGTTCATTAGCTCCAGGGTTGCAGTGTGGAAGCCTTTTCATATATTGATACAAATGTCTCAAGGGAGTCAAAAATGAAGAAAACAGCATATCACAATATGCCATTAAATATAAATGTATTAAATGAAAAAAAATTATTGCAAAACAGCTATTTTTGAATCAGGCCCACAAAACAGCCATTTCACTTAGCTGGCAGCATTTTTCATTAAGCCAATATTTTGTTTGATTACTGAGTGGTAACTCTTGAAGTCTTATGTAAACAAGTTTATTCAAGACTTAAACTATTTCGCTTGACGCTAATGTGAGGACTGTGGCCATTTGAATGTCTTCCATTCCATGGTAGCCACCATCACACATTCACATAAGTAAGAACAGGAAAGGTTCACCAGCTACTTTAGCCTCATGTATGCAGTCTTTTTTTAAAAGACAGCAGGGAAAGGAAGTTAATATGTTCAAGAGGAAGAAGTGAAGTGAAAGTGAATGGTTAGCATGCCACAAATTTATACCCTTCTCTCTGGTGGAGTGGTGAGATAGGCAAGTCATATCCAGTGACTACTGAATTTGTGAAGTGCAGAGAAGAAAAAGAAAGAGTAGAGAGAGTGCCCAATGAATGGAAAAAAGCCAAGAGAGCAGAAGGCTACTGTGGCTGGAACCAAGTTTGGGACATGAGAACAAAGAAGCTTTGGGAAAAGAGATTGGCTGGAAGCTCAGCTAAGACAACGTGTTTCATACCTGACAGTAGAGCCATGGCAGGGCAAGGCAGTAAGGGCAATAGAAGTGGTACCAGATATTCACTCCAAATTCCATCTGATTTCTGTAGCTGCTGTGGACAGTCGTATCTTCAAGAGCAGTCATCAGAGGAAATATGATCTTGGAGAGGAAATCATGGTGGAATGACAGCTGCCATTAGAGCAGCTCATTGTGAATAAGCACCCACTAAATAAGGTCTAGCAGGCAGAGGATTGGGAAGTATCCAGCAATCTTTGTGTTAAGTCCAGAACACTTTAGGAAAGATTTCAGCCAATGTTTTGAAGCCAGACTGGAAAAACAGAAATGTATGTGGAGATGGTAGAACATAGGTTTGCTGGAACAGTGTGTGGGACAGTAGAAGTACATGATGGGGCCTTTCTCTGGGTGAGAGGCAGAGATTTACTGCAGAACAGCTTTCTCTGGATTAAGAGCCCAGGGGTTATCCCCCAGAACTTAGATGAGAGCATGATCCAGGGGAGAAGATTGGCGGATCACTGTGGGGACTGGGAGTGGTGAGTAGAGTGGAAGTGGGGTGACGGCTGAGTAGTCAGAAAATAGCCATCAAAAGGGGTATGTGTGGTGGGTTTTAATGCAGATCAAATGGAGGACTGCTAGTGAGGATCCCATTAGGTGCCTGGAAGGAGTTGGAGTCAAAGAAGGGAGAAGGAAGGATCATAGTAGTGACAGGCAGAAGAAGGTGTGGTGGGAGCTAAGGCATGAACCATCTTTGAAGGAGTAGGACTGGAAATCTAAAGCCAATGCCCACTTCTGACCCTTTGGCCTTACCTCAGAGCCAGTTTACTGCTGCTTTTGATTGCCTGCAATATCTCTTTCCTCATCCAGGCCTTGATGGTGGGTGAGAGGTCAGACCTGGTTTGTAACATAGAAAACTGGAGAGGGGAAATGGGAGTAAGTGCCTGTCTCGCAAATATGCCCATCTGGGAATCATGCCTGGCATCAGTTGTGTTCCCAGGGTAGGGAGAAGAAGGGGTGGCAATTATTGCTCAGGAGGCTCTGCAAGTTGCCAGAACCAGAGATGAAGCCTTGTTTTTGAGGCTGGGCAGTCTTATGCACTGGAGGGAAATTCTCTTGATGCCCGTCTCTGGGGTTTATTTCCCTCTGTGGATGTCTAAGAGTCTGGGCACATTCTGCTTATGTGTATTACTTTGATGCCATAATTTCTAGGATCAGTTACTTGCTGACTGACTCACCTTTGAATACCTTTCACCCCTCCAGCCGGGAAGGTTATGCCATCGATTAGATCATTGGGCCGCATCAGTCCTGGCTGCTGGCTATCTGCCTGGTTCTGAGCCCAACCAAGCAGGCCCTGCTGTTGCCAGGAGGCCCATTGCATTGGGCTGGAGTGAGCTGTCAATCTGCCACTGCCAGGCTGCTCCTTTTCCTGGAATGCTTCCCATAAGCCAGCCTGTGCATCTATGCAGAACTCAGCACGGTGGTCTTGCTGGGCAGTATCCTCAATTCTTACAAAGTTAATGGTTGAAAGCCATAGAAAATGACCCAGGGACCCTCATAAGTCCTACAGACCATCTTGGCTTGTTGAATGAGTCAGTGTGGAGTGGGTCCACTCATCATACTAAGACATGCATCATCGTTTCCAGATCCCAATAGCTGAGATCTTACACTGCATTGAACCATAACAAGCCGAACAAATGAACCCAGCTGGCAGAAGCTAATGCTTTATTATCTGTTTTAAAATGTGAAATGTTAATCTGATTCTAAAATGCTGATATTCCCTCCCTTTGTTGTATTTTTTCAGCCACAATTCTTTCATCAGAAGTGAACAAAATAAATATGGAATTTCCAGTACTAATGGCTGACCATGATAAGAAATGTAAGTCTTGATGGTAACCCTTCCTAGTTATCTTCCTAGAGTTTCCAGCTATAAAATGACAGCATGTATTCAGTAAGCTTTCAGACCTCTAAATAATCACAGCTGTAAGATTCTTTTCTCCTGCTTTCTGTATTTATTACCCCTGCTAGCTTATTAATACTATTTCACAGAAAGAAAAAGAGAATATACTGGTGAATATTGGAAGGGCCATGGCTAAATCCTAGAACTAGGTGGTGGGAATCTTCTTTCCTTACAGTTTTTCTCTCTTACAAGCAATGGTAGAAAGCTGAGAAGCAGACTGGTCTTCTGAAAGTTTAGGCCAAACCACTGAGACCTTGTCATCATAGTTACTCATCTGCATTGGGTATTTTCTCTCTCCCTACTTTATAGGAAAGGAATAGAGTTAGAGCTACAACTTTAAAAAAAGAAAACACATATTTTCCCCATTAGCCAAGGACTGCATTGGGGACAGTGATGATATAGTGATGTCTTCAGAGGAAGGGGAAACTCAAGGGAAGCATTTGTTTTTCTAGGTGTGTTAAAACTTTGATGCTTAACACATCACCTTTTCTTTTTGAAACCCACTGGAAAACTACACCTCCATTTTCCAGCCATTTGTTACTAAATTTTGGTGACACAGTCTTGCAGGGAGGGTAACTCTCTGTCCTCTTCCATTTCAATAGTTATACAGTGACTTTCTTACTGAAGTATTAATGAGCCTCTAGATATCTCATATAAATCCCCTAGTGGCTCTTTTCATGTAATGGGCATAAGAAGGTAAGAACATAAGAAGAGCCCTGTTAGAACAGGTCAAGGCCCATCTTAGTCCAGCATTCTGCTTCTCCCAATGGCCAACCGGTTGCCCCAGCTGGGATGTTCAAGAGTAGGAGGTGGTGACGTACTTCTCTCCCACCATGGTTCCCCTGCAGCTGGTATTTTGGAGGCATGCTGACTCCAATGCAGAGGTATCACAGACTTTTCAAGACAATAATCTTTTTTTTTTTT